GCTTTATTCAGTCAATGCCATTTTCTCATCATCAACCCTGACCAAACTTTTCCATTGGAATCCCCTAATTTAGGGCTCTCCTTGAGTCAATCTTAGATACAAATGTAAATACATATAATATCCCAAACATTTAAAAAAGCTTTTATAAAGCTATCAGACTTCTTAAAAATAAAACTATGGTTTTGAGTTTTCATCTAAATCTAGGAAGGAATTATGGTGGGATTTTGGTGGAGAAGTGTAAAGCTATTAAAAATCCAAACATTTCCACACCTAAAATGACTCAATCTAAAATGCCGTCCACCACACCAGTGTATTTAACAAAAAACTGATCTGGCAAATATATCAACACACAGTAAAACAAAAATTTTCCCTTTTAATAAATATTTTTAAATTGAATTAATATGTTGTTCCCTAAATTGTTTTATATCTATAGTAACAAAACCAGAACCTTAGATTGTAAAAAAGGTAAATTATAAGCTCTTCTCACTTAAGAATGTAAACACAAAAGTCCAAAATAAAGTATAAGTATACTGAATCCAGAACTGTATATAAAAACGTGGCATATCACAGCTGAACAGGATAGTTCATCATAATAAAATCTAAAATAATTCATTACATTAACTAGTTGAAGAGAATCTAACTGGCTGGTTGGCTCAGTTGGTTAGAACATGGTGCTGATAACACCAAAGTCCAGGGTTCAATACCTGTAACAGCCAACAAAAAAAGTAAAAAGAAGAATATCTGTATGAATTCTTACAGGTTCATTAAAACCACTTGATAGAATTCAACAGCTACTAACATAAACTCTTAGAAAGCTGGAATTGAAGACAATTTGCATACCCTAATAAAGTATACCTACCAAAAAATCTATAGAAAATGTCATACTTAATAGTGAAACTTTTGAAACATTCTCTTTAAAATTAGGAGCAAACAAGGATGCCTCCTTTCTCTGCTCTGTTTCAATTACTATTTTAGAGTTTAGCCATCTCCATACCACAAGAAAAAGAAATAAAAGTATTAAAATTAGAAACGTATGAACTCTCATTATTCACAGGTAATGATTTGTTTACCCATAAATTCCAAGAAAATCCATGGACAAACAATTCAAACTTATAAGTAGTTCAGAAAGGTTGCTGAGCTCAAGATTAATATACATGTTGTATAATACCACCATCAAGGAGTCAGATCCCAGCACTGGCCACCTGCCAAAAAAAAAAAAAAAAATACAAAAACCAGCAGCATTCATGTGCTCAGCCTCAGTCAATTATAAAATGCAGTATTAAAAAATACACCTCGGGCCGGCCCGGTGGCGCACTGCTACAGCGCGCTGCTTGGGAGCGCGGTGGCGCTCCCGCC